TTTTTGACTAACTCTAGACAATTTCATACCTTTTTCAATATTTGTGCATCATTTTGAACTAATTTTGAGCAATTTGGGACCATTTTTGTGTAATTTTAGACAACTTTCATATAATTTGACCAATATTTGATGAAAACCATTGTGTAAATGTACATCAGTATTATGGGATGTATCGTAGTTTGAACAGTAAAACTGCAGCAGTTTAATGTCTATGACCGTTTTCTTATAATTCACCAGAGAAAACTTTACCAAGTTCATTCTGGGTAAACTTTCCAGGCTCATGTCAGCATGTGTGATGGTAGTTGGTCAGAACCAGTTCTAGACGATGGAAGGACCGTTTTTACACACATCTCACAGCAGGATCATCGTCTGGACACAACATTAATTTTCCATTCTAATAATATTTTAGCACAAATGTAGAAGGTGAGGTTCTATTCACTGAATGACTTAAAACCATGGTGACTCCTGCAGCATCATTCTACAGACAGAACCAGAACTGAGCTCTATCAGAGAAGAATCTGAAGACTCTCAGACTAGCTTGAATGCTGCAGACTGGTCTGATCGACGTGATTAAACTGTTCTATAAAACACCAAAGTTGTTTCTGCGTTTCACAGCCAGAAGAAGCATTCAGCAGAGTTAGAACACGACTTTAACGCTTGCTTGGTGAATTTTTCTTGTTTGAAAGTGAATCAAAGAGCCACAAAGATTGAAATACAAATGGAAATAAAGAATTAGACAGAATAAATCAGAGCTGCTGCTGCTGATTGGCTCGGAGCACATTTATCTTCTGTTGTAACTTCAGAATTAAGTGTCACATTCGACTCTTCTTGGGCCTGTTTCCAGCTGCTGAACATCTGAAAGATCAGGCAGAGTTGATTAAATTAGTGCTTTTCTGACTCATTATTCTGCTGCCAGCAGCTGCACCGCTTCTTCTAATGAGGACGAAGTGCAGCGTTGGACTCTCAGGATGTTTTCTGATTAGTCGTGTTCATACTCCAACTGAAAGTCTCTTAAATCGACTAACCAGCAGCTCTTTGCTGCAGCCTCAAATATGACTGAGTATTCAGTTTGAGTGAACTTTAAAAGTTTCCCACTTGTTTTCTCACCACTTTGTTGTTTGAAGTGGATTTCTGTCTGATCAGTGTTTTTATGCGTAGACCTTGTCTTGACACACAAAGAGATGGAGGAAAGGTTGCTAAGACATACAAAGCCAACAGAAAGAAGTGTCAAGCAACAACAAAGGGACGCAAAATGAGCACAAGAACACGCAAGACCAACAGAAAGCTGGAAATAAACAAAACAAAGGCTACACGGGCAAAAAGAGACACGAGACCAACAGAAAGATGTGAAAAGCAACGACTGAGATACGGAACGAGTACAACGAGATGCAAAGCCAACAAAGACGTGTGAAGCAATGACGAAACAACGCAAAATGAGAAAACAGAGACTTAAAGACAACAGCGGAGATGTGCATTGATCACAAAGGGACGCAAAACCAACAGAAGGATGCAAAAATCAACAAAAACTATTCAAAATTAAAGCTGCAAGCAGCAATGGTCGGGTCCTCGCCTTACGATTGTCGGCCTTCGCACACGTGGCAGAAATGCACTCTGGGTGGGTCTCTGATCCGAAATGTTGAGTTTCGAGCTGATCGGAGCCCCTGAAGCCTAGCTATACGCCACCTCCTGTTTTATCGCGAACTGAGGCGGCGAGCTGAGGCGGTGAGCTGAGGCGGCAAGCTGAGGCGGTGAACTGAGGCGGTGTGCATGGCAGGCCGCAGTGGTAGTGCAATCTGGGTGGGACTCTGATCCAGCGAGTCGAGTTTTGAGCAGATCAGAGCACGTTCTGCCCCCTTACACACCAAAATATGGCCAAAAATGAGGGAAAATGGCCTGGAATGCTCGCCCTTTTTCCAACGTGGCGGATTTCCTGTTGGGTTTACAGAAATGTGTTGATGGACTTTTTTGTTCGTCCTGACCTGCTCTATAAGCATAACTAATTTTGTAGCTCGAGACCAAACGGGCTTGTGACGGGACTCCGTTGAAATTTTCCAGGGGGCGCTGTGGAGCCATTGACATGTCAAAGTGGCGATTTTGGTGAGCTTTTGTTGCATGTTTAGGTCCTCAAAAATGTGTTTGGTTTGGCGGAAAAATAAACATAAGAAACCTAAGGGTTACAATAGGGTACTTGAGCTGTTAGTGTTTGGACCCTAATGAGACAAATCACCAAAAAAGATGCAAAATAAACACAAAGAGACACAAAACAACAACAGAAACTGTGCAAAATGATGACAAAGGGATGCAAAGTGAACCTCCAAACAAACTGAAAAATGTGCAAAGCAACAAAGAAGGGATGCAAAATGAGCATGAGAATGAGCACAAAGTGATTTAAAATAAAAAAGATATAAAAATGAACCAAAAAGATGCAAAATGAGCATAAAGACACACCAACAAAAAGAGGTGCAAAGCTACAACAAAGATACGCAAAAGTAACACAAAGTGATGCAAAAGGAGCACCAAGGCAGACAAAACCACCAGAAAGACGTAAAAATCAACAATAAAGATGCAAATGGAACACAATGAGATGCAGTAAGGTGTGCGATGCAACGACAGAACGAAGCAATATGAGCAAACAGACACTTCAAACCACCAGGAAGTGTACAAAGACACAACGGAGATGCAAAAACTGACAAAAATATGGCGTATGAGCACAAAGAGACAGAACTATGACATAATAAGGGATGCAGAACTCATCTCAGCAGGACATTGACTCGGACACGTTCGGTACCTTGAGCTTCTGGATCTTTCCGGCCAGAGACGAGTGCGTCCCGACATGCTGGAAGAGCGATGGCTTGAAGCGAATCCTCAGGTTGGCTTTCTGCCGGTCACAGTGTTTCTGACGGAGACACGAGGAGGAAGCAGAGAAACCTGTTAAACCCTCAGAGCAGCAGCAGGATTCACTGATCATCAGAGTCTGACTACAAACAGAACCACATAAATCCTCAGTGATGCACGTTTAAGGTACAGAATCAAGTTTCTAACAGAAGCTGCTGATTTAAATCTTCCTGAAACAATCTTTGTTAACTGGACTGTTTTAATGACAGAAGACTTTAAACTTCATCAAAAGTCACTTTGTTTTGTGGATTTTAACGGTATTTTCTCTGCAAACATCTGGATCCTCATTATTCATGTCAGACTTTCTTGGAAAAGGTTTTAACTTAAAGCAGGTTCTGTCCAAAAGTGGACTCATTCCAGATGAACTAAATCTGAACAAAGTTCCACCCTGAGCACGTCCCAGATCAGTTCTACATCCATCCAGGTGTCACAGTCTAAAGACTAAACCTGGGTTCTGTTCATGTCCTCTGTCAGCAGCTGGTAGCATCAGTATTATGGGATGTCTCAAAGTGGTACCAGTCAGACTGCAGCAGTTTAATGTCTATGACATAGAGTCATAGAAACCATCATTGGTACCCTGTATGTGGTTCTGGTTCTGATCATTCACCAGAGACAACTTTACAAAGTGCATTCTGGGTAAACTTTCCAGGCTCATATCAGCATGTTGATGGTGGTTGGTCAGAACCGGTTCTAGACCAGGATCATCTTCTGGACACAATAATGTTCTAGACCAGGGATCTCTAACTCTGGTCCTCGTGAGCTGCTGTCCTGCAGGTTCTAGACGTTTCTGTACCGCAACACACCTGACTCACATTAATGGATCTCCAGCAGCTTGTTGTCAAGTTCTACACAAGTCTGCTTATGATCCGTTAATGTGATTCAGGTGTGTTGCGGTACTGAAACGTCCAGAACCTGCAGGACAGTAGCTCACGAGGACCAGAGCTGGAGATCCCTGGTCTAGACAATGAAAGGACCATTTTGACCAACGGATGATACCAGGATCATCTTCTAGACAGATCCTAGGTCTCAAATGTGTCTGAAAACTGGATTTTTAAGGGGCTGTAACTGTAGAAACATTCACAGTCTGAAAGTAAAACTTTGATTCATCAGTGAAGTTCCTGTCAGTGAAGAACCCGCTGGTTCTGAGGAGGTCGGGTTGAATATCTGGTGTAGTGTTGATGCTGTAATTAGTTATATCAGTGTGCATTGATGCGTGGACGCATTACTATATTGGTAATCATGTAAAGTTTTATACATGAAAGTAGGTGTATGCATGTGTATATACATGAGATTAGGGGGAGGATTAAATAAGCTTTTACTTCTTCCTGCTCCTTTTCAAGCATGTTAATGATGATGAATGCATTTTCTTTTTTTCTTCTCTTGGCTGATTTAATTTCTTTTTCTTATTCTTATTTATCTTTATTTATTATTAATCATTATTTTCTTTTGTTTTGTTTTGTTGATTTCACTGTTTTATGTTTGAAATAAAGATAAAAAAAAAAAAATGATCCTGCTGCAGATCCACTTCTTCTTATTTGATTTTCATTTGAGCTCAACACCCTGAATCCAACGTTTCACTCATCACTGTGTTGTCTGCTCTGACTCAGATGTGTCCTCTAGCTGCTGTGTTTTGTTGCTAAACTAACAGCTGATCTTCAGTGTTTCTTTCAGCAGCTGACGTGGTTTCAGTCTGTTAGCGTCTTTAAACTCACCGCGTCCTTCTCCGGGTTGCACACTTTGACCCACATGATGTGGTCGAGCAGCCAGTCGATGGGTTTGTCTTTGTAGAACATCAGCATGAACTCGACGATGAGCGACAGGTCCAGAGACTTGAACATCTTCCCTGCAGTGACAGACGGAGGATTCGGGTTATTCTGCTCCGAGGAACTTCACAACAACTCAGCCGTGAACTCGATGCTCTTTAACAGGAAACACGCCAATTAGTGAAAGGCTGCTGGTTCAAATCCCTGAGCAGCTGCGACCAATCAGAGACAGTCTGGAATGTGGGATGGACACGTGAGGATGTTCTAAATCA